AGAAGCTAATGTATACTCGGACGATAAAATTCATGATGAATGCTACAATTTTGTCTAATTTTCAGTTTGGTTTCCGTGAAAAACACACTACCACTCATGCTATTCTACATTTGGTGGATAAGATATCCAGTGCCTTAGATGCACGCATGCATACAGTTGGTGTCTTCTTAGACTACTCTAAAGCGTTTGATACTGTAAATCATGATATTTTAATAGATAAACTGTGCCATTATGGTGTAAGGGGAATAGCATTAGATTGGTTTAGAAGCTACTTAAAAAACAGGAAACAGTTTGTTACTTTAAATGGAATTGATTCAGATTTGCGGGACGTCACTTGTGGGGTCCCACAGGGATCCCTTCTAGGCCCGCTTTTGTTTATTGTGTATATTAACGATTTTCAACTTTCCGCAAAAATGTTAACATTCATTTTATTTGCAGATGACTCGAGTGTATTTTTCTCTCACAGAAATCCACAAACTCTTTTGCAGACTGTAAACTCTGAGTTGACCAATGTGACATTGTGGATTCATGCAAACAAGTTGTCTTTAAATCTTAAAAAAACTAATTATATGCTCTTTAGTAATTCCCTGAAATTATTGCCTGGAAATGTAATGTTCAATGGTGTTGAGATTGAAAGAGTATCTACATTTAAATTTCTTGGCTTGCATATTGATGAACATTTAAATTGGAAGGACCATATTAGTAAACTTTGTAAATTATTGTCAAGAAATACTGGTGTAATATATAAATTGAAATCTGTGTTCCCACTGAATATTTTACTTATGCTGTACGCAACTTTAATTTTGCCATATTTGCACTATGGTGTGCTAGCTTGGGGCAACTCGTTCAAATCTCAAATTGATAAATTATTACTGGTACAGAAAAGAGTAATACGAATTGTTTGTAATACTCACTATCTTGCGCATACAGATGTTCTTTTTTATAATAGTAGTGTTTTGAAAGTTGAAGATATTTATCATTTACAACTAGGAGCTCTAATGTATGAATTGAATACAGGTCTACTGCCAGTGGCCTTGGCTAGAATATTTAAGAAAAATAACCAAGTTCATAGTTATTCCACACGTCAGGCGCAAGCATATCACTTGCCTCTTGTTAGAACGCAATTTGCCCTTACTACTTTGGGGTCCACTGGTCCTAGGTTTTGGAATTCCCTTGAACCAAGAATAGCGCAATCGGTCAGTATTTATGTATTTAAGCGCAAACTAAAGTTACTTTATTTGAGTCGATATCGTCTAGATTTATAGCTGTGATCAATATTTAAGAAAAATATTTACTATATAGGTCAGCATAATTCTACTCCTGTTTCTCACATCTATTCATCTGTCCGTCTTTTTTTGTTTTGTCTGTGTTTCAGTCGAGTTGCTCGTAGTTTTTTTCCCTGTTTCTCATGTTTAAAGCCATTATTAAGTATTTAATAGATTTTATTATACTTATTTATGTTTATATTTTTTCAGTTGTTTAGTTAGTTTAGTTTATCAGCATTTAAATGTTTGCATTATTCTTATCTGACGAGTTTGTTCTTTTAGGACATACTCATATTAGCTACTCATGAGGGACCTTAAATCCACAAGCCTTGCTTTCAACCAAGATCACCTCATCTTTCTATTGTAACGCCATATTATGTTAAACTTGTTATATTCATGTCATATTTGTAAAGTGTGTTATGAAAGAAAGATAAATAAAACTTGAACTTGAACTTGAACTTGAAGGTCACTGACAGGTGGCTATCTCATTAACTCAGCTCTCAAATAACATAAGAAAAAGAGGATCATGGGGTACCAACAGGCACCGATTAGGGAATTTTTCTATAAAGAGGGAGCAAGTAGCTACAAGTAGGACAGTGGGGCTTTAATATAAGGACACATTGTCTCATCTTTATTGATATGTTGATGACTACAAAATTGAATAAAAGGGAAAACGGGACTTGAGTGAATTTTGCTCAGTGATATAAGAACGCTTTTCCCAACCCATGCAAAGGTGTTGGCATAATTATACGTGTATCATTATTATTAGTAGTCATGTAGTAGAAGTGGTATACAGTAAATTATACAAATAACAGTAATAATAATAAATAATAATAACGATAATAATAAGGATAATAACAACAATGATAATGATGTACAATAATTGATTTGAGGCATAGGTTCCTGATATTTAAGGCCTACAAAATCATAATAATCCGAATTGGTTTCTTTTCTGTATTTACTCACTGCAGCAGGAGGATCAGAACAATATACACCACCCTTGTGATATAACCAACGCTGATGAAGTAGTGACTCCAACACAGGATGGCATCAGTACCAGACGAAATGCCCCACCCTCACGCCCCTACCCCAAACCCTCCACCACCACCACCAGTCCCGGAGTTACCCCCCTACGCACCAGTCGATCCCCAAAAGACTCCACTGCGACCTGACCTTGGCTCTCCGCCGCCTTACGCAAGTGTAGTGCAGGAGACATATACGAACAATGGGTACCA